ACTTTCAATACAATGATTCACCTGTATGGTAATAATGGTCAACTGGAAGAAGTTGGTTCCCTGATGCGGAAAATGGAGGAGCTTAAATGCTGTCCTGATACACGGACGTACAATATTCTCATTTTTCTCCATGCTAAGCATGATAACATAGAAATGGCAGCCAACTACTTTAAACTGATGAAGAGTGCTTCTCTAGAACCAGACACTGTAAGCTATCGCACTCTCTTGTATGCCTTTTCAATAAGGCAAATGGTTTGTGAAGCAGACATGCTGATTCTAGAGATGGATGAGAGAGGATTGGAGATTGATGAATTTACTCAATCTGCTTTAACTAGGATGTATCTAGTAGCTGGTATGTTGGAAAGGGCATGGTCGTGGTTCTGGAGGTTTCATCTTGGGGGGGAAATGACTTCTGAGTGTTACTCTGCCAACATTGATGCTTTTGGTGAGCATGGCCATATCTTAGAGGGGGAGAAAGTTTTTAATTGCTGTCAGGAGGTAAAACGGCTTACTGTCCTCGAGTTCAATGTAATGATCAAGGCTTATGGGATCAGCAAGAAATATGATGAGGCTTGCTTCTTATTTGATAGTATGCAGAATCATGATATATCTCCAGACAGATGTAGCTACAGCTCTCTCATTCAGATGCTAGCTGGCGCTGATCTCCCAGTAAAAGCAAAATCTTATGTAAGCAAAATGCAGGAGGCAGGATTGGTGGATGATTGTGTCCCTTATTCTGTTGTCATATCCAGCTTCATAAAACTAGGTCAGTTGGAAATGGCAGTTAGCTTATATAAAGAGATGATTAGGTTTGGTATCCAACCTGATGTTGTTGTTTATGCTGTACTGATAAATGCCTTTGCTGACATCGGAAGTGTTAAAGATGTTAATTGCTACTTTGATGATATGAGAAAGGCTGGCTTGCAGATGAATACTGTTATATGCAATTCTTTGATAAAGATATATAGTAAAGTTGGATACTTGAAAGAAGCCGAAGAAATATACGAAACACTTCTGTCTTTCGAGGATGGTCCTGATATATACTCTTCGAACTGTATGATCGATTTGTATAGTTTGCGATCTATGGTTGGACAAGCAGAAGAGGTTTTTGAGCACTTGAGGAGAAAAGGAATTGCAAATGAGTTTTCTTATGCTATGATGTTGTGCATGTACAAAAGGAATGGAAGGTTTAATGAGGCCATTCGAATTGCAAAAGCAATGAGAGACCAAGGACTTTTGACTGATTTGTTGAGTTACAACAATGTGCTTGGACTATATGCAGTTGTAGGAAGGTTCAAGGACGCAATGGCAACTTTTAAGGAAATGTTGACGTCTTCCACCCAGCCTGATGATTTTACATTCAAATCGCTTGGAATTATTCTTGTTAAATGTGGGGTTCCAAAGGAGACTGTTGGGAAATTAAAAATGATGAGGAAAAAGGATCCTCAGAAGGGTCTGCTTGCATGGACTTCAATTCTTTCGTCTGTGACTGGCTTGTATGATACTGATAATGCTGCATGTATGGAGTTATAAGTTATAACAAAGCTGATTGTATTGGTATTGCAGATGATGTAGTTTAGAGACAAATAGGCTCTGAAGGTGTCATTTGGAATAGTATTTGTAGAAGCTGGTATTGGGGTACATGCTAAACAATTTATCAACTGAAGCAGACGCCTTCTTAGTGTGATGAAGTGGCTTAAGCCTTGTATAGATGCAACTTGGAACTTCTATGAAGCTATTGTAAAATTTCAAATTAGAAATACAAGTGGTTTATATTCAAAAGCTAGAAAATACAAATTCTCAATCTTTAAATGTTTTATATGTACATTTTTCTGCTTTGTACCAGTACCATATTCTTGTCTGTGCATCTATAAATTTCAGAGTTTGTTGAGGATAGGTTTGAAGGGATTCTATGGAACTATCATGAATCTTGCCCAGTGCAACAAATTTCGTTCAGACAAATGATTTCTCAACAGAAGAGAGGGCATGTCCTGGTGTCAGAGGTGCTCTTACTGATGCAGTAGTATTAGAGACTTTCTGCACACAGTTTGCGGTAACTAAACAAGTGCATATTTATTGTTGCCCAAAAAAAGTGCATATTATGTTATTATGTGAATGCTAATACAGTTTAAGATGTGTCACACTTTAGCCCTTGAAAGTTGAAACTCAGATTTTTCTTGCCATCCTTGCACTAAATGGTACAGCATTTCTGGTAGTGTTCCGTATCTTCTTTTTTCATGTTCACCCGTCAATACAAATGAATATCTTGTACACAATTTTCTACTTAAAGACTGTAGCAGTCCAACAGATTGTTCCTGAAATAAGGTATAGGAAACAATCGGAGTTACATGGAGTTGGATGGAAGTTTCAAAACCCTGGTGCTCTGAGAAGGTCTTTTACAGCTTCTTTTATAGTTATGAGTTATGGTATTTCTTCCTAATTGCGTCCTACAGGGATTTTATTCTCATCAACTAATTTCCTTTTATGGTGGCAATTGCTGATATATACATTCCAATGTACTGATATATCATGCTTTCTGTTTATACTATTTATCAGTTGGTGATAGTCCTTTTGAAGGGAGTTTATATTTTTCAAAGGAAAAGCACTTTTACACCAAAAACGGAAATATGGAATGTTTTTTTGTATTTGTTTGCCTAAAAAAAAGTTGTGCAGTAATTCCTAGAGCATGCATTTGGTGCAGTGGACGCTTTATATTAGGAAACTGGTGGCATGCAAAAAGTTCGTAACTGATGCTTGAAATGAATTATAATCTGCTAGGCACTATTCTTTTCTCCTTCATTGAAATCCTCTGCTCCTGTATATTTTCTACTTGGAATTTGTCAGCTGTACCTTGCTGGTGTGAATGACGTCAAATGATATTGTGTTTCTTTTGGCGGCATGCTATAAAGTCTTTTCCCTTCTTCTATGCGTGTGCTTTTCATTGTGGCTGGATATGATTTGCAGATCTGGGATTCAGGATAGCTTTTCGTTTCCTACTTAGATTTTCTTTTGATCTTTCCCTGTTACCTTTTTGTGCAGCATTGTTTCACACTATGGTCAAGTATGAAGCAGGAACGCTACAATCCTGAAACGTGTATGTGCCTTTACTCGTCTAAATAACTTTTTTTAAATATGAGAGTTGATATGGTCTGTTAGTTTTGCAATAATTTTCTTTTATAATCCACCCCCACCCACCCTGAACTCCCTCCATTTTTTCCACACAAGACAAGATTGCTGGTAAAAAAAGACTGGAAAGTCCAATTAATAGGTGAAGTCAAATATTAAGGAATAGTTTTTCACCATTCATGGTATCTGTACAAGACTATAATTATTAACTAAACAGTCCTACTTTTAGGTGGATTAAGATAAGTTTAGAATATGCTCTAGATTTCCTCCTAGTGGCCGAGTCTTTGTACGCAATAATGTTATCGATCCATATTTCTCCAGTGGTCAATTCTCTGCAAATTGTGTTATAGTATTTTATTGATAGCAGATACATTAGCATTGATTAATCTTGATTGTGAAAGAAATGATAATTTTATACAGTTTTTTGTTCTATAGTCCAACCATACTGAAACCGCTGGCCATCAAACTGGAAGTAGCTCCACCCTGGTAATGAATTTCACCGTCTGTTTTTTAGAATTTGTCTTTTGGGGGTGTCATTTTTTGGTTTGGTTGCTAAAACGACATTCTCATTTCTGCCTTTGAAAGGAAGCATTGTAGATATTAATTCAGGTCTGGCCTGCATCTGTAGCATGAAAAAGACAGGAAACCTTAAAAAACAGTGAAAAAAAAAATACTGTTTGTTATTAAAAGAATCAGTTTGTAAAATATCATACATGGTTGTACTCGATACATAAAAGAACAAATACAGATTGAAATTGCAGAAATTCCCCTATTATTGAAGGCATTATGAGTAGGGAAAATGACGCTTTTCATACCTAAATTGTACAGTCTATGAAGTTGTTTTTTATGTCGTTCAATTGTTTGCGAAGTGACTCTTTAGTCCAAATTCTAACAAAACTCAAGTACAGAAAAATGTCATTTCGCAGACAATTGAGGGACGAAAAGTTACAGTAGGTATAATAAGAGACGAAAAGGGTCATTTTCTCTTACGAGTAATATATTAGGCCGGAGAGTGATGTGTATAGTTTGTGTTTTCTAATTTTGATTTGTGCAATGTTGGAGAGTGATGTGTATAGTTTGTGCTTTCAAATTTTGATTTGCTCAATGTTTTAAAATGATGGTTTGGGACTGTTTAGCCGATCAGTTTCTTGGTTCAGAATGGAGTGGACGAGGTGTGCTTAGAGACATTACGTCCTTTTCAATTGATTATATTCCCCTTGGCCTACACCCTGGGCCAACGCTGCTCTCTTCCGCAGCTTTTCGGTTTCTTTAAGGACCACGCTACATATTGCAGGTCCCATTTAAAGGAACAATCCGGGCAGCCGGAGCACGATCAGGCTCACCGTAGGTCCCATTAAAGGAAGCCTGCTGGCAGGTGGAGCAAATTGATAGGAAATAGGGCAGGGGAGGTGAATTTATAGAGCCAAATAGGACAACCTGGGCTAATTGATAGGAAGATTGCTGGCGGCCGGAGGGAATTCATAGGACCAATTGGAGCAATCAGGGCGAATTTCTAGGATCAAATAGGTGATTCGTCTTTCGCTGTGAGTTATATTTTGGTGTAGTGAATCAGGTTTTTGGTCAAGGCGCTATGAGTTATAGCTTTTTTGGCGTAATGAATTAGAGTCAAATTAGTTTATAGCTTTTGGCATATAGTGCGAGCCAAATTAGCAGGGCAGCTATAACTTTTGGCATAACGAATCAGCTATAGCTTTTGGCATAATGAATTAGAGCCAAATTAGCAGGTGTTTCGTTTCTGGTTGGGTAAGAGATTGCGGGTAAAGATAAGATATCAATTTGATGCTGAATTGAAGAGTATGTTATATGATATAAGTTTATGAGGTTGAATTGAAAAGGGTTTGCAGCATATAACATATTATTGAACTTAACAGATACTATATCAAGTGTTGAATCTCTAGAACTTAGGAAGAAGCATTACAAAGTCTGAAACGAGAAAAAAGAAGAAATTAAGAACCTATGTGCACATCTATAATACTATTAAGGAAAACTTTGATTTACAAACAGCAGACTTGTGTCTGCACTAGATAGATAAGCACACAACTAGCACCTGGTGCCGCCGCCGACGGCGGCGGAAATTCAACCGCCGTCTTTTCTGGTGGAAACTCGGCGACAATCACTGGCGTTGTCTGGTTCAAGATTCATGGTTGTATTGTTATACTAGCATGAAACAAGATATTTCTTTGAACCCAACTCTCAACTCCTCCCATTGTGTGTCCTCGAATTCCGTTTCTCCATTGACGACCTTCATCTCCACCAGCCATAGCTCCGGCGCCACTTGAAGAATTTCCACCATTAACGTTACTCTTGCTTTTATCAGTCTAATTCCCCCTCCCTTTCCCCTCTCCACCCTATACCCTGCTTCACTCCCGATCTTCTTTACCTTCTCCTCAACCTCTCCTACCTCGGAATTTGTGGTGAATCTCATTTCTTTCTTCTTCAATCCCGCCTGGAATAGCCCTGATAGATCCAACCCGGGAGACATTGAAATGATATCGAATGCGTTCATTTTGGTTAAGTGTTTGCAATCTTTGTCGAACTCTTGGTTCCCGAATTGATGTTCGTCTGTCAAATCTATCACTGATGATGACTTCTTGAACCAGGGGAGCTTCATCAGTTCCTCGATGGACATTCTGGTTACCGGATTGGGATCGAGCAGCCGGAAAATTATGCTCCGGGTGGGCTTTGTGATCCAATCCGGGAACTGAAACGCGCGGCTTCGTATTGCACGGTACATGTTTGATATATTGCTGTCGTCGAATGGGAGGTACCCTGCGAGAAAGGCGAAGAGGATGACGCCGCAAGACCACGCGTCCGCCTTGGCGCCGTCGTAGCCTTTTCTGATCATCACCTCCGGGGCGGTGTAGGCTGGAGTACCGCACGCGGTGTGGAGGAGGCCGTTCCGGATCTGCTCCGGCAGCGCGGAGAGGCCGAAATCGGAGATCTTGAGCTTGCCGTCCTTGTCGAGGAGGAGGTTCTGCGGCTTGATGTCACGGTGGGTGACGCCGTTCTGGTGGCAGAAGTGGAGGGCGAAGACGAGCTGGTGGAAATAATACCTCGCCGTCCACAAGGAAAACCGGCCGCGGTGGGTGAGCTTCGAGAAAAGCTCCCCGCCGTGGGCCAGCTCCATGACGAGATAGATCTTGCTCTTCGTCGCCATCACTTCGTGGAGTTTAAGGACGTTGGGGTGGTTGTTCAGCCGCCGCATGGCGGCGATCTCCCGGATTATCCGCGGCTCCATTGACGCGTCCACGGTGGTGCTCTTATCAATAACCTTAACCGCCACATCGGCGCCGTCTCCCAAGCACCGGGCGTGGTACACTTTCGCAAAGCTCCCACGCCCCAGAAGCCGCCCTAGCTGATACTTATTCAGTATGATGTTTCCGCTCCCACCGCCGTCACCGCTGGTGGTTCTCCGTATTCTCACGGCGGCAGGCGGTGGCTGGGGGCGTTTAACTTCCATCCTCACGGCGGCCGGAAGGAAGAAATAGTGGGTGGTTTTGGGAAGAACAACTCAACAACGAGTCTTCTTCTACTAATACAGAGCCACAAAGAGTTTTTGGTTTGGTTTTATAGGGAAATACTAAGTGGAGGATTGTTGGATCTAACCTGTCTTTTACTATGATTCTGGACTACAAATTTACTAAACTACCCTTCTTTCTTTTTGGTTTGGTCTTTAATTAATTCCTTAATCACGAGACCCTAGGGCTAAGGCATATTATGGAATATTTGATTCTGCATGCAACTATTTATTAATTAATTATTGTATACACATCTCAAACACCACCTATTTTTAAAATGTTATTCCCAATGATTTTATTTGTGATTTTTAATTTTAAAAATATTTATAATAATTTGATAATTGAAAATTAATATTTTTTACTACTATAATTGCTACGTAAGATGGCACGTCTATAGCCATTTCAATTGGATTGAACCCTGGTAATAGGGGCATTAATTCTTTGGGCTGAAAAAGATAGAAAGTATAATAAAGAATATTACCTTATAAATAATTATGTGTGTTTTTAAAAAAAAATTGCTACATAATATTCACTTTTTGGTACAATAAAATTATTAAATAAAAAATTTAAGCAATAATAAAAACATGTAAACTAATTTTTATAGGAAAATGTAACGTGATTTTATAAAACACTTTGAGCAATATATATTTACATAAAATCTCAACGTCGTTGTTTGAAGATGCGTTTGAGTGTTCTCAGTAAACCAAGATAAGTTATTCGTAGTTGGCCAAATTAAACCAAATAAGCTAATAGACAATTATTATGAGGAATCAAACATAAAATTTTATGACTATCAAATTAATTATTTGTTCAACTTGAATGGAGTTACCCATAACATTCTAACAATGTGTATCTAATTGGTTGTTATCTTTTATGAAATATTGTTCCATTGCAAAAATAAAGGATTACTACCACTACTTCTGCCCCCCCAAAGAGCCAAATGTCTATTCCCACGTCGAATCATTTTAATAGTGAAAAAAAAAAGATTGAAATATTTCCGAAAAAGATGTGCAATTGTTTTTACTTGAAGCTAGTACCATATCTTCTAATTTTATATTATTTCTCCCAATTACTTTTTCCCCAAATCCTGATTTGTTTATTTTATTTTTCCACAAAATAGTTCTCCCCCATTATTTAATTTTATCTCAACGGCGTCTTCTTCATCATTTTGATGTGCCAAACTAAAAAAATCAATTCTTTTACAGCTTGGATATGTTTTCAAATAATGTGTACGGGGCATATGGTTCTACGTTTCAATTTTTGAGTGATCAAATCATATAAATATATTTCTAAAAGATAAAATTATATTATCACATAAATAATTTTTTTTATCAATGAGGTGTCACATATTAATTTGAGAGAAAACCGAGCCAATCTAAACTTGCGTCATTTATGTGTTTGATTCATCCATTGTCTTTATAAGAGCATGGGACATATTGTTCTACTTTTCGAGTTTTAAATAATCAAGACTATTTAAAATAATATAAATTTATTTCCGAAAGATTATCTTATACTCTATTATCATATAGATATAGATACTTTTATCAATGAAATTTGGCCTATTAATTAGAGGAAATCATCATATATAAACTTAAGTCATTCATGGGTTTTGTCAAGTACATTGTGCTCAAATGGCATGTAGTGATTCTCATATATGGGAGGCCATGAGATCAAGTCTTAGTGGAGGCGGTGTTGACTCTTTGTGCTTCAACGAGTTGAGAAAATATGTCCTTACTCTTCATGGATTATAGATGTTTATAGGTTTAGTCCCAAAAGATTATAATAGTAGGTATTATTCATTGATTGAAGAATTTGTAATTACACATTCAAATTTTGAAGCAATAGTGGAGAAGAAATGCTCGAAAGCTAGAATTTACACTTTTGTCGTCATATTGATGCATCCCAACCCCATTTTTAAACTATACACTACTAAATTTGAAAAAAAATCAATAGTCTTGAGACCATTAAGGTTGAATTAAAAGTCAATGATAAATATTAAAAATTTTCAATAGTCAAAATAAAACATTCAATGGTGTAGATTTGACCATACATTCTCACATAACACCTTGTTTTCACCAGATTGAAACCAATATATGAGTAATGCTAGAGACTCTAATATTTTCTCCCTGCAATCTATCCCTCATGATGTGGTAGATTGGTAGTATCTAATTGATAACTAGTTTCAATTTTGAATTAGTGGTAGAATCAACCAATTTATAACACCTAATGAATGAATGCCAAATATATATATAGGGAAGAGATTATGTGCGGGTGGTGCTTCCCGTGCGGTTGTGCGGGTGGACTCACATTAAGCATTACACTGGCGCACTTTAAACACACAAACAAAATACATCCAGAACACAAACTCACGCACCTTAAGCACAAAACTCACGCATCTTAAGCACAACCACCTTAAGCACAAAACTCACGCACCTTAAGCACAAAACACACGAACCTTAAGTTTTAACAACAACTCACATTAAGTACACACTCACGCACATTACGTACAAAACTCACGCACCTTAATCACAAGACTCACGCACCTTAAGCACAAAACTGACACACATTAAGCACAAAACTCATGCACCTTAAAGTTCAAACAAAAATTCACATTAAGTACACACTCACACACATTAAGCACACAACTCACGCACCTTAAATACAAAACTCACGCACATTAAGCACTACACACTCACGCAAATTAAGCACTACACACTCACACACATTAAACACAAACCTCACGCGCGCACCTTAAACACAAGACTCACGCACATTAAGTACAAAACTCGCGTAAATTAATCACCCACACAACCGCATAGGAAACATTCACCTGCACTGGAACTTAACACACACACACACACACACACACACACACACACACACACATATATATATATATATATATATATATATATATATATATATATATATATATATATATATATTGTGTGTGTATATGTATATGTATATATTTGAGTTTGTTGTAGTTGGGTTGCAATTAGTTGGCACAAATTAAATACATGAATGAGTATAATTATATTGGTGTAATCATTGTTATTATTATTGATATAAAAACCAAAAATAAAAAATAAAAATCGGTGTATAATTTATATACTCATCGATCATTTTGAATTATATAGAAAGACGAAAGCACGTACATACCTATACATAATTATTTCCAATGAAATTCTAACTCTGTCATACTAGCTAACTCTCTACGATAAATTATATTGTAGATTAGCCTTACATTGTGAACTCAAGTACATAAAAATAATACTATAGATACATAAAAATATATAATATTATATGTACAAAAAAATGACATCAATATTCCAATGAATCTATATATATCTACAGTAGTAAATTTATGTACTTACGGTATTAACTTTATGAACCAAAATTATGTATATAAAGTAATGACTCTAAGTACTTGCATATTTATTTTTAATTTTTTTTTTAAAAGTAATATGAATGTCATTTAAAAGATATTAATTAAAACCTTTTAATGATGTAGTTTATATAAATTAATTTTATTTATACAAAAAAAGAAAAAAAGGAAAAAATTAAAGAAGTAAAATTTTTGCAACATGATACATGATATAACTAAGAGCTGTCGTGAGCCAAAAAAAAAAAAAAAAAAAAAAAAAAAAAAAAACAAAAAAACTAAGGGCTGTCTACACACTATTTAGTCAATCGTTATTGTGCGCATAACGAAAAACGACGTTGTTTTTATTGTTCATATTTTATGTGTATTATGTTAAGATTTTATGTGTATTCTGTTATGAATTTATGTGTATTGTGTATTATGTATTATGTTAGATTATATGTATTCTGTTATGAGTTTGTGTATTATGTTATGAGTTTGTGTATTATGTATTATGTTAGATTATGTATATTTTGTTATGAGTTTATGTGTATTATGTATTATGTTAAATTATGTGCATTCTGTTATGAGTTTATGTGTATTATGTATTATGTTAGTTTATGTGTATTCTGTTATGCGTTTATGTGTATTATGTATTATGTTAGATTATGTGTATTCTGTTATGAATTTATGTACATTCGAAATAGAGAAATTTTTTTTCTTTAAATTTAACAGTAGAAACGGGAAACAGAATTTCTTAAAAAAAAAAAAAAAAACATGGTCAAAACAATGCATTGTACGCCCTGGTGCACATTATAATTTGCCCTATTTAGTTGTTACACCATGTTTATATCTGGTAGACCTTGGTCCACGATATGTTTACATAAAATGATAAAATTGTTATATCATGATCGAACCAAGGTGCATTTATGTCATCCATATTTTTTTCTCTTTCAATTTTCTTTCTAACTTGAATTTATTTATTTTTTTTTATATAAATAAGATTAATGTATAAAAATGTGTCATTAAAAAGCTTTAATTAAAAAGATATAAAAATATGTCATTTAAATGGAACCCATATTGATATATATATATATATATATATATATTTTTTTTTTTTTTTAAAATCTATATGTACATAAAGTCATTACTTTAATTTAATATTTATTACTTTAAACTTTATTTTTATGAACATTATGAACATACTATAGAAGAAATAGAAATAAATATGATGTATATGCAATTTAGTATTTATGTACAATAAAGTTTAAGTTTATAATCATATACAACAAATATTATAAATATAGAATAGAATAAATGCTATTGAATATGATGCATCTTTTATGTATATTAAACTTTGTTTTTATGAACATATAACAGGAGCTTTACGAACATACAACATTAATTAATAGAAATAGATATGTACCTTTAGTGTTATTTTATGTATATTAACATTTGTTTTTTATGAACATACTATAAAATGAATGAAATGAATACGATGCATATTCAATTTAGTGTTTATGTATATTGACTCTATTACATTACCAAAAAAAAAAAATTGACTCTATTACATTGTAGTAGCCGCACACACAATCAACAACACCTCCACTGAGTGGAGGCTCAATCTCATGACCTCCCGCATGAAAGAGGTCAATACATGCCATCTGAACACAATGTGCTTAACTGTCAAGGTGGATCC